TTTGCAAGAAAAAAAGAATTTTAAGAGCTTGAACATATGGTATATGAAAACTTATGGATATTGAAGGAGAAAGCATTACGCATATGAATCTTGAGGTAGCAGTGGATTTTTCTCAAATGATTAACAAATTAAAAAAAAATGATATCAATGAATTTTTTGCAAGTACATTAATACTTGAGATGAAGTTCCGTAAAAAAGAGACGGCTATTTATATGTTCACCATAAAAAGTATCGTAATAAATATGTTCACCATAAAAAGTATCGTAATAAATATGTTCACCATGAAAAGTATCGTAATAAATAAATTAATTCCATTTCATTTATCTATTGGTACAACTGTTACTGCGAGCTTAAGAGAATTAAAAAAAAATGATAAAAGCTAACAGCGATTGAGAGCCATGTATTGAACATTATAGGAATATTTGGGTGTTATTTCTATCTCCGGAAATTTCTGTAATTCACACTGACGTATATTATATTTTACTAATATCATGTTTTAGATACTCAATTGTTCTTGAAAAGTCTATTAATCTTCCAAAACAAATTTAATGGCCTCGAAATATTGAATCGAACTTTAACTTATTCAAAAAATGGTAGACAACATTAAATATTTCGAGCGAGCAAAAAAGCTTTCGAAAACTCGGAGTGGACATAATAAGAATATTTTTTTTACTGGTAGAATAGATTTTGGCTTAAAGCTTTATACATGTAAAAAACATTGGAATTTAGATGCAATACATTTTTAATATTCAAATTTGAATGCCAGTTTAGAATTTATAGCTATAAATTAAATAAATTCTTGAATGAACAATTTGAATAAATTATTTGAATAAATAAATAATTTGAATAAATAATTTGAATAATTTGGATTAATAATTTGAATAATTTCAATAATGTGAATTTGAATAAATAAAACTTCGAATATTTTTTTCGAAATTCTCGTATTTTGTAAAACTCGTAATTCTGTTATTCTTATGTTAAACTCAGATTAAATTTAAAGAGCAATTACGTAGATGATTTTAGTGGCAATGAGTACCACATGTAATACCCGATTCATCACGGGTTCTATTCAATTAAAGATGCAAATGGCTGGCTCCGACCGGCTAACAGCTCGCTAAAACAGAGCTGAGCTATTTTTGAGCTGAGCCGTTTTTTAGCTGAGCCGTTTTTTAGCCGAGCCGTTTCTCACCTAGCCAATCAGGAGCCGATCAAGAGCCGAGCTAAGCTGCGGCTATAATTTTTATCATTATTTTCGTTGCAAGAAATATTTTTTTCAACAACTTCGGAACGTTCATTTATTAAACTCCATATGTATGTAATGGTATCGAATATCCAAAGAGTATATCATATTAGGCATACTAAGCATGCGCATTAGCGATATGTTAATATATGTGTAAAAACATAATATATATATATTTAGAAAAAGAAATAAAAAAATCTTTAAAAAATAAAACCATTTTTTTAAAAAAAATTCTTTTAAAAAAAAACTTTTTTAAAAAATCGGTTTTAAAAAAAAAATTTTTTTTAACAAAACACTTTTAAACTTTAAAAATTTTCATTAAAAAAAAAACTAGTCTCTTTGAAACTTAATTCCATGCTCCAACCACGAACCAGTACACATAAGAGCTTGTACGATTTTTTTAGAAAAACGTGCACGTCTGGCCCAAACAGTATCACCTGCCTTCGAAAATATTTGTTCAGAAGGTACTGAAGTGGCCTGGATCGCAAGAAAGTCTTTGGCCATTCGAGACATACCAGGAAAACGAAAGCTGTTAAGTTTCTACCACTCCAAGGGATTAATGCTCATTGGTAAGGTGGCTTCATTTAAATATTGAGTAACCTCATTCATTGTGTTAAAAGCATTAACCCGTCGTCGCTTTTGAGCTACTTGTTCTGCATATATTGTCATAGTTAATACGTTTTCGATAGCTAAATTTGTGGATAAATTATTTGACAAATACTCCTGAAAAATTTGATTAAAAAAATTTTGATTTTCTAGAGTATTCATATCAACCGGAATTAATTCCAGTTTGATTCGAGGATCGAGAATTGAAGCCATAAAGGCTGCTTTATTATATATATGAACCATATATTGTTTGACCTTTTTCGACATTTGGGTTGCAGCGGTTTTTAGAAATAGGGGGCTGGATGAATCTTGAATACATGATGTAATAATATCAACAATGTCATCTATCAATAAAATAGAAAGACCAAATGTTACATATGTGCTACCAGAGAGCGTATTTGTAGTTTCATAAAATGGTCGTAAAAACCGGATTACAGCCTGAAGGTCAAAATCTTCTTGTTCTGTAAGCTTGTATTGAGCAAGATTACTATAGCGTCTAATAACTGCTGCTATTGTTGTAGGCATAGATGTATAAACCGACAGCATTAGGTAAGTACTATTCTACCTAGTTGATACATTTTGTGGAATTTTGTGAACTGCTTCATCTTCACCAACGGACAGACCAATTTCTTTAAAATCTTGAGTAATCATGGAAGACTTTGCATAGATAAGTGCATGTTGAATAAACAGATTGCTGAAATTACATTAGACCCATTATCTGTCATTGCACAAAACACCTTCATAGTAATATCAAAAGTATCTAAAATCGATCTTAATTGAATTTCAATATCCTCACCGGTATGCGGGTGTGGAAGCATTCGAATATCGATTAAAATTTTTTTTAAGGTCCCAATTACTGTCGATTTAATGTGCTGTAACACCAAGAAACGGTATGTTGCACGGGAGGTCCAAATATCCAATGTTATTGAAATTCGGCTAGAAATTTGCCCAAAAAGGGCCTGAACATCTCCCTGCATTGAAGTAAAAGAATTTTGTACAATTGATTTAATGGTACATGCAAAGGTAACTCAAGACTTGCATTAAGATATCGTAACAAAGCAATTAATGCTTTGCTTTTAACGGTTGAGAAAGGTAAAGTATCTGAAACAATCCATTCAGCTAATAAAGTATTAAATCGAGCCTTTTGATCAGTTGTCAAACTTTGTGCTGAAATTGTATTGGTAAGTGCAAAAAGCTCGATTATATTCCAACCCGGATGTTGTGAATCAAGATGTTTGCGCAAATTACCTGTAGCTGTTTTTTTGCTGAATGTATTTTTACAAATAACACAAGCAACTACACTATCATCGTTTGATTTTTTAATAAAATAGGGCGTAACTAGAGACGGTTTTTTATTTTTTGTATTTACAGAAAGAGGGACAGAAAGAGGGGTAACATTTGCACTCGAACAAGCAGTATCGCTATCGGAAGTGTCTTGAAAATTAATAGGAAAAAGTTCGTTAGAATCCATTTGAACGATTATTGAGAATAATTATGAGAATAATTATGAGAATAAAAAAAATAAATAAAACGAAAGTATTTATTGCATAATGATCTTTACAATTTACAAAAATATTACGACATATTATTAAAGTCTATTCATTTTATCATTGTTTCGGTCTGACGAAATTATATTTTGCATGAA